GCTAGTTGTGTAGGGCTTTATATGCAATTAATAAAATCACATGATTAGAGAGGCTGACTGCTGTGGTAAGGTCTCAGCAGGTCATCAGCTGGCACTGAGGTTAGAAGAGGCAGGAAATGGAGGGTGGAGAAAAGCGGTGGAGGTGGTGGAAACGCACTTGAGACAAAAGGCACTGGTGGTCACCGTGGTGATGGGTAGGTCTGGGCTTGTTCCCAAAGAGCCAGGTCTGCTCAGAAAGGTCCAATGCAACAGAGCCATGAAAAAAAGTCCAAGCAGGTGTGGAGGTGGAGAACGTGAGCAGTGGTGGAGCTCTGATAGCAAGGAGCATGGACGAAATGGGAGGAGACCCTCCAGCGCAGGGTCACCAGGGCACACTTCCTGTCCAACTTGGCTCTGGACAAGTTTCCGTCTTCTCTGCAGCTGTCCAAAGGCTCTGACAGACAGCCGCTATCTGTGGCATTACGACCAGGTGCTGAAGGCGGTGGCTAAGAGTTTTAGCTTCAGCCATCAGCACCAGCAAACACCATCATGCTTTGAAGAAGACTATATCCTTTGTGAAACCTGCTGTTTTCCTGTTTCTTTACTCTTTGCCGCTTAACTACTCACACTCGCTCTCTCTGTTTTCTCGGCCGTCTTCAGCAGACAGTTCAACTTTTTCACCTGTTTTCAACTCATGATTTCCACTACACGGCATTTTCCCAGGAAATGTAACTTTTTCTAGTCTCACAATAAATGTTTGACATTTGCAGTGTTTCCTAAATGAATGAAAGAAGCTTCGAAATGTGAGATTTTAAAAATTCAAATGCTGCTCAGAAATAATACCAAGGTTCTTAGCAGGAGATATATTTTTTTAATTAACAGGGATAGCGCCTGTTAATGGACATCAGAATACCAAAACTATAAGATGTGAACGGGCCAGACTGAAGCAAAACTGCTCCCAGCCCAGGTCAGATCAGACTTCGGTGAACAAATATGTACAGGAACACAACAAAAACGTCACACAGAAGTGAGTTATAAGTGGTCACAGACCTGCTCTTTACTGCTATTGGTAATAATGACGGTGGATATAAGGACTAACATACACAGACATACCACTAAAAATAAACCCCAAAACTAAATTAAGCACCATATTAGACTTTTCTTTGTTTGCCTCGTTTCTGTCTTGTGACACTTAAAACAAAGCAGTGTTATTTAAGGCCTGAAGAAGAGATAAGAAACCAAAACAACAATCAAAGAAAGTCTGGTAAAATAAAAAAAAATCAGTATTTGTGATTCTTCCCTGTCATCTTGTGACCGCAGACTTGAGCTGCGACCTTTTAGAGGTGCCCGACATCACCACGAATGCGGCTTTGTAGCTGAAATGCAACTAAACATGCGAAAAGCGAGCGTGACCGTAGCCTTATGAAGCATCCGTTTCTGCAGGGAAAGCAGTCGAAGAGGAGCCACTGTTTCCCGCCGATGAACCGAGAGCATCGGAAGATCATCCACGAGCTGGCCGAGGTCTACGGCGTGGAGAGCGTGAGCTACGATAACGAGCCCAAACGCAACGTGGTCATCACGGCTCACAAGTGAGAGCGCGACCAAATATACGAGCGCCGTTATCATAGATGAGAAATGCGGTAATCGTGGAGTCGAGGATGTGCCTGTGTATCTTGTTTTGTTTTTCTCGCTCAGGGGGAAGTCGGCCTGCCCGAACTCAACCCTGACTTCACTGATAGAGCGAGAGACAGCTGCACGGGCTCCTCCTCCCATCGCTCATATCAAACAGCACAGCAGCAAGTAAGTGTTAATCTGTGGTTAGAGAGACTCTTCTATACGACTCCAAAAATGTCCTTAAACAACACTCGGAGACGGACTGTCTTACTTTCATGCTGCTGTTTGTTAGTGTCTTTCGCTGCCTGCTTGTGATTCTTCTTTTTGTGTTTTCTCATCAATTAATCTCCTGCCAGGTCTGCCGGTGGAAGCACCTGGTCGAAGATGGTTAAAGAAGAGCCCGCGATCGATTATTTTGACGTCCAGGACTGAAAGTAAAAACAAATCTTCTGCCAAAAAGTCCAAAACTCGTTTCATTTGCATTCATCTGAGACCAATAATCATAAGTTCTCTGGTTTCTTGTTGATAAAAAAATAAATGTTTGGAAATATTTCAAAGCTGCAATGGTCTCTGGGGAACTCTCACTCTTGTTATATGTGGGAGGATGAATTGAGCCCTTGAATTTTGACATTAAAGTCCATGAAGACTTTCCCTGTTTGAAAAGCTCCTGCGTGTTTTCTTTGCCTCCCTGGTATGCGTTTTAATAAAAAGCGAATTCTTCCCTATTTAATGGGTGCAGATGTTGATATGAAATTTAATACATCGGCTCCAGAATATCTCCGATGTCCACATTAGGTGCTCTATCGCTTACTCGGGGTTAAGTCTGTATGGCAGGGATGTGTTGTTGTTCTTTCTGCAAGGCTTCAGGAGGGCGGGTGGGTAAGAGGCAGTGGGCTGCATTGCATAAAGAAAGCTTTGCTCCAAACACAACTATGACCCAGATGTGGCGCTGCACTTTGTGAAAACTCTTCCTGGGTAAAACGTGAAGGCACTCGGAGGTCGAGCTGATGCAGCAGGATGTGTGTCGTAGATGAGATGAGAGCGTAGATCCTGTTCTCCAGCTAATGGACTGTTTCACCCACTGCTGCGGCCTGTGAGGTTAGGATGCTGAGTCAGGCAGACTCCAGCACTGAGTGGACACTACAGGATGGACAGCTACTCGCACACTCTGTTTGCCAACTTAAAGGTTCTCATTGATTAAGGCCTCTCCTCTCTATAGGTACATGCTAATGGATTTCAGGAAACTAACCAGCTTTCTGTACAGATGTTCTCATTTTATTTTATCACCTTTATTTAAGCAGGAAATCCCACTGAGGTCAAATCTCTTCCACAGTGGAGACCTGGCAGCCGCATAAATAAACACAACATGATGGATAACATGACAACTCACATTTTCTCCATAACTATATTTGTTTAAATTCAATATCTTTTTTCTTGTAAGGGCTTTTCAAGATTTTTTTGCATCAATGACATTTGGAAAATACACATTTAAGTGTTTACTTCTGCACATGTTGTCAAATTGGTGCATAAACAATGACTTTTAACACATTTAGAAATGAAGGAAGCTCACGAGATGAATAAATATTCCTTTAATGTTAGTAAGCAAGTGGGAGAAGATTTGTTGCTGTTGTTTATAATTTATACTCTAGTTTTTTTGTAAATTTATGCTTATTCAACAAAATCTTTAAATCAAAATCTCAGATTATTAACTGAAAGTTGTTTTTGTCCTTTTTTTGTTGTTGTCAGTTTCAAGTTATCTTCTCAGCGTTTTAAATTTGTCTCAGACCAACCACGAGTTAGCGTTAGTAAGTTTTGTGAAAATGACCTGAAATTTTGAGTTGCACATGTCAAAATAAATAAATAACCCCAGTGCGTAATATTAATGTACAATGGTATATTTACTGATGAGAGATTTTTAATGAAGTGGTCAGAGCAAGACTGTCCTGGGTTTGAATCCACCGCCTGGCTCTGTGCAGTCCAGCTTCCTCCCACAGTCCAGAAACATCCATGTTTCATTAACTGGACCTAACTGGTTCAAAATTGGCCAATGGGTGATAACGGGTAATTTATGTGTTAACTTTACTACTCTGAGTCAAATTAGTACTCATTCACTGACAAAATTCAACATTTAGATATTTGAACAAGTAGAGTCTGGTTTCATGATGTTGCTCTTTACATTTTTCACTTGTCCACTTCAGCAGCACCTGCATACACCAAACTATTCAATTATTTTTTTCAGGTTTCAAGGTTATTCATTTATATAGCACTTTTAAAAACAACAGTTGTTGACCAAAGTGATTCCTTTCAATCCTGAAGGTTTCTTTTTTTTCTTAGAAACACAGCAGGAATAGACTTTTTCTGGCAGTTGTCTGTATTTTGTGATTCATGAAGTGATAAAAAGATATTCCTAATATGTCAGCAAATACCCCTTTTCCACATAAGTGCCAGTGTTCAATCTAGAACTGGTTCCATGCATCCGTAGCCTTAAAAGGACCATTACCAGTGCCAGAAACCTGGCACCAGCAGACTGCTTGGCCACATAGTTAAAACCACTGACACCAGTAGCTATGGGAGAGGCTGCGGATTCAGGTCACAGATGATTTTCTTTACCCTGCTCCATAATAACCAGGACTCAGGCAGAACTGCTGCTAAATATAAAACTATATTATTTATGCTGGCTTTATCCACTTTACGCAACGAGTGCATATTTACACAGACAGTCCCCAATCTGCAGACACAATTCTGATTTTTGCACGCATTTCTAGTTTTGTTTAAATCATTTTTCATGAATATTTTACAGCTCAAATGAAGCTAGTAGAACAAAACGTTTGGTAATAATTACACAGAAAGTCCAATATTATAAAGAATCAAGTTCAAAAGTCAGAGGTAAGAGCCGGACAATGAGCTGCTACAGTATATCCACCACATGTGTTATAAATCTGGCTCATTTCATTCATAAATCTTCACTCTGGCACTAAAAAAAATGTGTGAAGTGATAACTTGTGACTGCCGCGTGAAGCATTAGTAAATTATCCATTAAAGCAGCAATTAGCCACAACTTAACAGCCTCTTTATCGACGGATCCTCATTAGAAAGTGGAACAGTTCTCTCGGTTAGGGAGCTGGTGGTGCTGCTGCTCCTTTGTTGCTGTAGTGCACCGGGTTTATCCCCCCCCCCCTCCTCCCCGCCTCCCTCCCTTTTGTTCCTGCACTGCATTTACATGTACAGCATGTGTTTGGAGCAGGATAACCTGAAATCATTTCACTGTGCGCTTTGGGTTAAATAAAAATCTTCCCTTCCTCCCTTAAAATAAAAAAATGAAAAAAGAGAGAGAGCGAGAGATGAGGATAATTTGATGACACTCCCTGCCACTGGTAATTTTTCATTATATCGACTCTCCAGCAGAGACCGCGCCTGCGCTCCTGCTCCCTTCCGAACAAGGCTTCACCAATCCTGGCTCTGGCTCCATCCCCGGCTCGGCGTCCCACAGGCCAGCGCTAATAAGTCGCCTAGCTGTCCAGTAATGGGGGAGTGATCGAGGGGGGAGACGCTTGCTGCTGTGTGAAAGCCCGTGAGGAAGTTGAGGGGAGAAAAGCAGCTCCACGCCGCGCCGGACCGGACAGCTCCACAGAAACACATCCTACAGTTGCCGTTGTTGAGTAGCCCTTAAAAAAAGAGAAAAGAAAAGAAAAAAGGGAAGAGAAAAAAAGCGCACAGTGATGGAGAGAAAGGTATGGATGACGCTTATGCTACCTCGCGATACGTTAGCGCGCTTTGTTTTATTCCCACAGTGAGTCTCCGCTGCTCTGCCAGCCGCATCCACCATTAAAACTACTCTTTATGCGTTTAGGCTTCATCCTGTAGGCGCAGTCGGATTAGTGCGCACCGGAGTTTTTTACCTCGTCTCGCTTCAATTTATTGTGAGCCTCAAAAAACAGAGAGAAGAAAAAAAACAGGGGAAACTGCAATTTCCACCTCGTGGTGATTTTAGCCTCGGTGTACAAATGTAGCGTGATGTGGTTGGCAATATTTAAGGGGGGGACTGTAGGCTCTCTCTCAGCCTGTCTGCATCATCACAAGGCACAGTGTGTAGTTGCAGCACCTCACCCTCCTCCACCTCCCACCCCCTCCCTTGTTTTTTTTTCCTTTTTTTTTTGCAGCACACGCAGACACCAGGCAGCTCGGCTTGTTAACCTTGACTGGTGTGAGAAACAGACACTTGAGGAGTAATAGATGGGATGCACGGCGAAGCCCCTGCCATCCTCTCGCCTTCTTCTTCTTTTTTACGCATGCCTTTAATCCATTACCCCTCCCTCCTCCGTCCCCCCGCTTTGAAACAACAATATAATGTGCTGTTGCTTCTCTAAATGTGTCCGGTGCAGGGGGGAGAAAGAAGAAAGTTTCAGTTTCACTGTGTTAATCTGCTGGCAGTCTGCGGTGCACTCAGGAGCAGGGGGGGATTTGGGGGTGTACAGCTGCTGAAGCCAGATCTGCTTCTGCTGATTCCAAGGAAAATCTAATTTTTATATTAAAGCTGCTGTCAGCAACATTTCATCTGGAGGAAAAAAAATTTCTCTATTTTTTGAGGCGAGTCTGCCAACATAGTTAAGGCATTCACCTCTATGCAGCTTAGAGTGAAATAATTGATGCTATCTGGCTTAGGACAGTTACCACTCCCATGTTTGTCTCTTAAATGTGATTCAAGTTACCTGAAGGTGGTTTATATTGCAAAGTAAAGATAAAAACCCAAACTGTCAGATGATTCTTTATGAGCAAGCACTTGGCGACTGTGGGGAGGAAAAACTCCCATTTAACAGGAAGCCTGTTGGCCTGTCTTAATATGGATGCTGGAAATGTCCTAAAATATCGAACTGTTCCTGAATCTTCTGACCGCTTTTCTTTGAGAAGTTTGCACATTCTCGCTGTGCCTTTGTTTATCTCAGTGGTTCTCAAACTGTGGGGCAGGCCCCAAGGCACTGCAGGTAGACGTGGATGGCCAGTTGATGTATATTGCAGGGTGAACCTATATAAAGAAAGAGTTTGTCCTCTGTATCACTAAAATTTATCTGGGATCTTTATTTTAACAATTGATAAAAATGTTGCATGCTCTGTTATTTTTAGCCTCAGTAGCAGCTGGCCTGTCAGAATTAGTTTGAAAATACTGGGGTAATTTGTGATTCTACATTGGCTGTAGGTGTGGTCAGTGTAGCACACGTTACAAAGGTTAATGTGGTGGGTAGTGTAGATTAATTGGAGGGGTCAATGAGAGAGCAAAAATGGGTGTAAATGCCACTTTATTCTATTCCAAAAAGATTTTACGTACGTGTTATTTTTTTGTTTTTAAGCTGTACAGATTTCAAGGTGCATGCTGCTGTTTCCACCTGCCCTCAGGCTTCAAGCTAATCTTAGCCAGAGACATTATATAAGGAGGAGACAGGGTACACAAAGTATAACATCCAAGAGGAAAACGCTTGGAAAAACATATTTTGGGGCCAAAGTTTGCATGTTTTTCTGGCTGTGACTTGCTTCTAAAAGGTCTGTCACTACCTGATTTGTTTTACACATGTGCAAAACTTTATGTACTTCCTGTCATCACAGCAGATTGCAACACATTAGAAAGACTGGTTTTCTTGAAAGTGCTGGGTTAAAATTAGTCTCCTGCTGTTGCCAGATGTCTGTGTTCTCATCTATATCAATGCTGTAACGCTCTATACTTCATATTTTTTGCTTTTTTCACGTATCTTTTTAAGTAGATTTTTCTCTCTTAGTATGTTTTATTTATTTAGTCTTTTTTTACAGTTTGATGAATACTTACACAGATGTAATTAATTTTTCATACTTTGTGTTTTGTTTTTTTTTAAAGCCAACATTCTTGTTCATGGAGCACAAAACCAGCTTCATAGAAATTCTTTATTTGCTTAATTAGATCCGTATATTAACCAAAACCAGAAAACAATGTGCCTTTTTTATACAGAAAAAAGCTCATCTTCTATGTAATAACTAGTTAAATTAAATATATATTTAAATATAAATTTCTTTGAAACACTTCTACAAACCCTTTTATCTGCAGCAGTTATGCAGTGTATTTGTCAAGACTTTTATTGTGAAAGGAAGCAGCGTAGTCCTTTTTGCATGTGCTTAGAGAAAATGCGGCATCAGTTTTGGCTGAAGTTGTAGTTTTATGGATTAAAAGCCAAGCATACAGTCACTGGCAAAATCTTTGGATAAACGTGTTGAGCTGCTTGTTAACGCAGAGATGTAATTAGCCAATCACATGGCAGCCACAGTCAAGAGGAAGTTCACACTGAGCATGAGGGAGAAAGGTGGTTTATGTTTATGGCAGAAGAGCATCTCTGAACCTTGAAGCACATGGGCTATAGCAGCAGAAGACCACTCTGAGTGGCCCCCACTGTTAGCTATGAACAGCTGGTCGTGGCACACAGCTGCCCCTCCCTTAACCTGGTTCTGCTGGAGGCTTCGTCCTGTTAAAAGGGAGTTTATTCTTCCCAGCTGTCGCCAAAGCGCTTGCTCATAAAGAGTCACGCGATTGCTGGGGTTTCCTCTGTATTATTGCAGTGTCTTTACCTTAACATATAAAGCGCCTTGAGGCAGCTGTTGTTGTGATTTGGTGCTATATAAATACAATAAAATTTAAATTGAGCTCTCCAAAAATAGACAATAGAAAACTGGGAAAATATTGACTGGTCTGATGAGTTTTGATTCCAGCTGTGATATTCGGATGGTAGGGTCTCAATTTGGATTCATTAATAACATGAAAGACTAGATCCATCCCGCCTTGAACCACCGGTTCGGGTTGATGGCGGTGGTGTTTTGGAGTTGGGGATATTTTCTTAGCACATTTTGGGCCTTTTAGTACCGACTGAGTGTTTTTGCTGACCACGTCCATCCCTTTATGACCACAGTGTATCAGTCTACTAAATGGATTTATCTTTGGATAGATCCTAGGTAGCCATTTTCTAATGTTTCCCTGTTTATGCTAAGCTAAGCTGTAGCTTTATTTTTACCAGAGAAATGTAGAAGATGAATTGAACTTCTGTCCTTCTGTGAAATGTCTTTTAAAAATGGGCCGACTGTCTAGTCACCACATTTTAATTCCAACCTTATGAATTGCACATGGGCTGTTGACTACGCTGCTCTTTTTGCGTATCATTTCGTTTCAGTTTCTCGAGGTCTCGCAACCCTTAATTGAAAAAGCAAACTAAGCCATTTGATCAGTTTCCCTATCACATCATCGCCCTCGCCATTCTTCCTTCGACTGGATGCTTTGGGAGGCAATAAAGCGAAAAAGCTCAGAAGAGCCTTAAAACTTGGTTTTAAGCGGTTTGCATAATAGCTGTAAATGTGTTGATTTATGCCGCGCCACTCTGATTTCACATACACTCTCTGGAGTTATGAAGGACTTGGTGACTCAGCTGCTTGCTGATATCAGATGCTCTTCATTTTGATGCTCTGTATGAAAAAAACCACACAGACGAAGGCATTTGGGTGCAATTAGACAACAAAGAATATTGCATAACGGCTGTTATTTAGGAAAGCGGCTGCCTGCGTGTTCATTTTCCATAGGTTTAGCCTCTTGGAAGTGATCCCATTCATACTTCCAGCAGACTTTTTCCATATGGCATATACATTAGGTTTCCATGTGGCTGAGGAAGAATATCCTACCCATTCGTTCTTATTCGAGATGGTATAGGAAGCTTTTAAGCTACTCTCTCTCAATTTTTATTATAAATGGAGTTGTTGCAGCGTGGCGTTCGCTGTAGAAACGGCTGGTCCTTGTCAGCGCCCGGTATATGAAAAAACGGACTAAAATAGCTCAGTTTCAAACTGCAGTCTTCCCTGACCCAGCTGCTGGCACAGATATTCCCTTCAGTATAAAGAACGGAGAACAGTCCTATTAGTATGCAAGGTGCCGTCACAGCTTCTGAGGTCTGATAGGGGATCAGAGGATCGGCTCCTTTTACAGTCTGCTGAATGCTTCACGTGGCTTTTTAAGGAAAGTTGCACGGGAGGACTCCCCCTCTCCTCCACCCCCACCTCGGACACGCGCACGTTTACACCCCAGTCACTTTGTTCAGCGACGTTTGAAATTTAGTTTGGGACGCTCATCGAGGTCAATCAATGTTTCGCTGAGTGGATTCACCTCCAGAGTTTCTCAATCTTATTTATCACGCTGTTTTTCCACCAGCCGTGAGATTGATTAGGCAGACTGGAAGCCACACACATTTGGCTTTGTTTCCCAAATAGTAGGTCACCCAATTAAATGTTCCCTGGCTTTGTGTTTTGTGTTGTTTGTAGGGATAAATTAACAATAGAGCACTTCCTTTTTTTTCCTTCCGGTTTTTTTGGGCTGGAGAGGAATGTGCTGGTTCAATGGGTGTTTGTTGCCCTGGACTCAAGTCTGCTTAAACTAAAACCTAGAAATGTGATTGATTTCATTCAATAGTACTTTTGTAATGATTATTCGATCAGGTTTTCAAGGAAAAATGTAACAAAAAAACGAAGATTCAGATGAAATATGAAGATTTGCTTCTTTTAATGGTTTTATCTGATAACAATTTGAATATCTTTGCTTCTGGAAAACAACTCTTTTGTGTATTCCAGCAGTTTAAAGGCGTCGTGTCATCCTCAGCTCCATATTTTTCTTCTCTGACTCTACGATAATAGCTTTGCATGATTTATAGTTCAAAACAACCCTATTAATCCCATACAG